GTCTAAATTATCCTTCATTTATATTTTATTTTTGTGTAAATGATTTTATATTTTATAAGATGTTATACTATCATTTAATGATATATTTGAATTAAATAAACATAAAAAAATAATTTTATTATGGGATAATGTGAATTAAACATCCCTGAATATAGAAGAAAGAAGATGCGGTGTGAGCCCTAAACCAAGGGAAAGATTAAAGAATAGCCGCCTAAAACGGAAAAAAAATGTAAGTATAACTGAAAATGTGAGAAAATTTATAATACTTTTATATTAATTTAAAATGCTAACTTGTTTTTAATATTTTTAATTTAACGGAAAATATTATATTTTTCATAACTTTTTTGAACTACCAAAATTGTTAAAAAAGTTAATGTTTTAAGTTGCGGCCAATTAAAATATCCATTTGGTTTTAGAAAATATAGATTATTTCCATTTTCATAAAAATAGAAAACGTTAAATAAAACATGTTTGGTTGTAAAATTAGAAAATGAAAACAAAAATAAGTGAAAATATAAAAACATAAAAAAGTTTTTATGTTTTCACTATTTTCATGAAAATTGTTTTGGAAATTCAAAAAATAAAAAAAAATTATATCTAAGTTTTTAACATAGCTTACACATGTTTAAATAATTCTAATTCTAATCTTTTATTTAATGGTAGCTGAAACCCTCAAATTTTTGTAAAAAAGTCAATATGGTCCTTAAACATTTTTTACACTCAATGTAATCCTTAAATTAATTTATTTTAATAATTTGATTTTGTAGTATTTTTTAAATTTAATTTATTGAATATTTTAATAATGTTTTATATTCTATATTTTATTAATTTAAATAAATTTAAGATTTTTTTAAAAATTAATAAGTCCTCAAACTTTCTAAAATAATCAAATTAAGTTCATCTACCACATCACCGTCCATCGAGTAATGTCACAATAGTATTACGAACTGTCACATCAATATTATAGATTGTCAAGTTTGTGAACTGTCATGTAAGTTTTGTGACTGTCAACATTTGATTTTGTTGTTCAAAGGGTTTGATTAATATTTTTTTAAAGTTTAACGATCATAGTTGGGGTAAAAGAATTTTTAGGGGTTACACTAATTATTTTCTTAAAGTTTAAGGGTTCAGCTATCACTAAACATATTTTTTATGTTAATGACACTTTTGTGTGTTATTACTTATAAAAATATTTTTGTGTATTTTTAAAATTAAACTAATATCTAATATGCATTAATATTATATTTTTATTATAAATTAAAATAAATTTTGTGTTATAAAATTTATTTTCAACTTTATTGTTTTATATTTGTATAACTCATATGTTAAACTTATGTAAGATTTTTCATAATTATAATCTAATTTAATTATTTAAAACTATTCTTTTTATTTCTATTTTAAAAAATTAGATATCAAATATATTTTTAATATTTTAGTTTTGAATTCAAATTTTCATTTATATAGATCAAACATATTTTTAAATTTTCAAAAAATTAAAAATAAAAATTATTTTCTAAAATCAAAAATAAAAAATATTTTTTTAGAACTAAACAAACTCTTTTATTCTATGATCACATTTCCTATTACATTCATTTTCTATAGTTTTTTAACCGTATATTAATCTAATGTATGGCAAAACTTCCCCCAAATCAAGGCTGTCAAAATCAGTTTCTGCAAAACTCAATGACACTTTTTACCAAATCTCCACCCCCCATTAACCTCGTATCCATCACGTTACGAATCCACTGTTTCAGAAACGTGTCGTGTCTCACCGTTCGACACATCATCTTTGTATTTAACGGACGATCACTTTGCGATCGACACGTCATCGCACGGTGTACTGAGGAATTGTAAACGAGATGGTGTGGTAACAGTGCTGACGTGCGTAAACCCCCCTCTCACTCTTGCAGATTCAAGGTTTGGTTTGCCTCACCAGGTTACGTGGCATAATATTTTCATTCTAAGTTACTTTTTTATAGTGAAAATTTAAAAAAAAAATTAATTACGTATATGCATACACATACGTATAATATTAGAAAATGTATAAAATCACGTACGCATTTCACGTAAAATTCTTATATTATATTTGAAAATAATCTCTAAACATTTAAATAAATGATATTATTCTACACAAATCGAACGATCTCAATGGTAAAAAAATTATTTTTTCCTTGAGGTCTTAGGTTTGAGCACCTTGAATGTCAGTATGTGAGCATTTAATCTCAAATTATTGAGAGTTATCTTTAAATAAATGTTATCTTATAATACCCCAAATTAATCAAATATATATAATATTTAATTTATGGTAACATACATTTCTAGATATATGTTTTATTCACATAATTAATTTACAATTCTATATATATATAATAAATTAAATTAAATAATACAAGTAATAATTAAAGAAAATAAAAGTTTCATAACGTAAATCTCATCATCTAATTTAAATTTTACAGTATATATACTGTAAAATTTAATTTATACAACCCTATCTATTTTAATGTTAAATTTTAAATAAAATAAATAAAATTATATAGACTAAATTTAACTCAACTTGTATCGAATAAAATAATTGGATACAAGTTAATGATGAATGGAGGGCGGTGGTGGCATACTAATATTTGTTTAGGAGGTAGAGTAGGCAGCTAAATACGCGGTTACACGTGACTTTATCATAGACTTCAACAAAACCTCGGAGCTTACATTCATCTTATGTAATATTTGCATCATTTACACCATCTAGTTTTCTATGATTTTGATTCAAACGAGACTTTAAGACAACAATTAAAAGATTTTGAAATAATTTCTTTTATTCTCGTGAATTATTTATTTGAGTATTGAGAATTTGAAAGTCTCAATAATATATAGAATAATATAAATTCAATTGTGTAAAAAATTAAAATATAAAGATTAAATATTAAATTGTAAAAAATAATATATGGACATTGGATATAGTTAAACCATAAAATCATTAGAGCCGAAAAACAAAAACATTTTCCTGTCGATTTTAGGGTTTCATCCTGACTAATTCGAATCGACCTACGTCGTACACTTAGTTTTGATGGGGTGAATCCCTTAATAATAATTTTATACATACACAAAATCTTAAACTCGAGACTTAATTTTAATATTGTTAGGCATGACTCATATAGTCTGTGGGCTAGGATTAAGTGGGTTGGGGGTGCAGGGGGTGCGCGATACGGTACGGGGTTATTTTGGTATTTGTATTGAGATTGCCTTTATATTATGTAATTGTAACCTAATTGTTATTATTATTGCTAATAATAAGAAAAAATCGCTCTTCGCTCCCGGGGACGTAGACACCTTGTCGAACCTCGTTAAATCTTATATTCTTTATTTTCTTTATTGTTTGTTTATTTCATATGTTATTTAGCCTAATTTCCCAACAAATATCAAATTATTTATTACTTGAACTAACTCGTTGGTAAAATAATTATTTTTTGTAATAAATAAAATATGCTAATTTTAATAATAAATTGAAAATACAATCACCATCATATAAAAGAAAATTTATAAAATTAAATTAAAATGATCACATCAATCAAACATTTTATCTATAAACAAGCCACTAAATAATAAAAATAATGAAAGTATGACCATAATAGGGACATATAAGAAAAGAGTTTAAAAACTCTAATTAAACAATTCAAAAAGAAATAAAAGATATTAATGATGAAAACAAACTATTTATTAGTGCAACGGTAATTGTTAACATCGTTCGTTGGGTTAAAAAAAGTCCTCTCCTAATATACTAAATAATTACGAAAATTTGTCTTTTACAGAAGCGGTGTAAATTTTAGTTTACGATTCTATCTATTTTACAAGCGGTGTAAATCCTATTTAAGCCTTAGGATTTAAAGTTTATGCATAAAATTTAATATTTAAAATTTAAAAATTCAAAACTAAAAATAAATAAATTGTTATACAAAAAATATACCAAATAATAGCTTAATAGCTGTACGTATCTTTTCATAGGAAAATAAAACTGTTTTTTTTACTTGTTAACTGATTTTATAATTGAATGATATATATTAACTAAATACACTCTTAATTCTGGTATAAAGTCAAAAACATTATTAAATATTTGATTAAATAATCATTTTGATTCACTTTTTTAGACTATTTTTGTCTTTTAATTTTTTATTTTAAAGTAAAATTATCTCTAACGTCTGACTAATTAATCATTTTAACACTTATTTTTTTAGAGTATTTGGATTCTAACATTTCATTGTATGACAATTTTTTTTATTCTAGAACATTAACCATTTATCGACTAATAATTTTTATTCATGAAGAAATTTTTTTACTCTAAAAAAAATTTTAAAAGTTAAAATAAAAAAATAAAATAACAATAATGATTTAATCGAATGTTAATAAATACTTTTATCATTACTTCAATTACGTCAATTCAATTGGATGAGAGAGAAGAATTTTATACGAATAAAACCTTGAAAATATGTCTCACAAGAAATTTTAACACTTCACAACGCATTTGGTCACTAAACCAATTATTTATCAGTACGATTTTTTAATATTTTAATATTTTTATAATTCATTAAATTTAAAAATGAATTGATGATACAGATTAATTAAAATTTAATTCAATAAAAAATATAATATAATATAATAATAAATAATAATATAATAACAATTTTATATAATTTAGACTAAGAAAATTCACTAAATAATTTTATAAATAATATATTATTTACATCTATATTGCAGTGTAACAAAATTTGATTTATATTATGATTTCTTTTATCATATTTGAATTAGTGGGATATGACATAGAAGAGGGTACTACGTTGGTTTCTCTAGGGAATGAGGCACAGGCACAGGCACAGGCACAGCAGTGTCCCTTTCCATCTTCTTCAATCACTCCCCTATTCCTATATACACTTACCCTTAGCTCTTAACAAACACTTGCTCACAACTCTTCTCTCCCTTTCATTTCTGTCACAAATTTTCATATATAAACCATGGATAATGCGTATGGTGTTCAAACTCCTCATCAACCTTTCATGATGCTTCAAAGGAACAAGTGTAACGAAAGGCGAGGCCGGAGGAAATCAAACGACCCGGGGAGGTTTCTGGGCGTCAGACGGCGGCCATGGGGTCGATACGCTGCTGAAATCAGGGACCCCACCACCAAGGAAAGGTATTGGCTCGGCACTTTCGACACGGCTCAAGAAGCCGCACTCGCTTATGATCGAGCTGCCATCTCCATCAAAGGGACTCAAGCCACGACCAACTTTGTGTACATGTCCCCTTCCCATGTCCAATCTGTTTTACTACCAACAAAAAATAACTTTGAACAACCTCGGCCTCACATTTTTGAAACCCCCACTGAACCAGAAAACAGTTCCTTGTCTCTCACTAGCAGCAGTGCTGCTGCTGATAACTCGGGTTACTTGGCCTGCATTGTTCCTTATAACTGCTTGAACCCTCCTTCAAACTCCATGGATCAAAACTCCAACCAATCTCATTGTGGTAGCTTTGAGGACTTGCCCTTGCCCAAGTCCAATGAGATTGAGTTCCCTGGCTTTATGAGTTCCAATCAACTCCCGCCTATTTTCAATCATCCTCCATTGATGGTTCAAGATGATTGCATGGGAGCTTTTTATACTCCCAATGACCATCCAAGCACCTACACCATGATGCCGAGTTTAGGTGATGTGTTTCAACTCGGGGTATTCACTTTTCTGATGTAGTATTATCAGCAAGGAAAATGGCCAAGTTATGTTTTGTTTTTTAGGTTTCCTCGTTTTAAGGTATGAGTAACTAATATGCTTTCTCCTGCATTAACTTTGCCAAATTGAATGGAAGTTTAGATTTGACAAAAGCAGCTTTCTTTCATTTTCAGACAAACATGATAGAGTTGTCTCTCTGCTGCATTTTTATAAAGGGACTTGTCGTATTATATGTCCGTGATATTATATTGTCTACTTTTTAAACCTAGGACTTGCACTATTTTTTTAAAAAAAAAGAGGACTTGCACTAAAACGCATGTATGCGGTTCATTCACCATTAATATGTTTGAAGATGTTACCTTTATTTGTTACATTAAGCACTGTGCTTTAATGTTTGAATATCAGGCGTCTTGTCTGAAATGTTTCAGCATTTCTATTCTTCATTACAAGAGAGAGTCAAAAAAAGATAAAATTTTATAGCACCCAAAATGTTATCAATGGCATAACTTTTTAGTTTCGGTTATCAATGGCGCCTACAAAAAAATGTTATCTTCTCTATAATATTTTGATTGTAACCGAAATTATTGTAAATTGTAAAACATTCTCATTAAAAAATAGAAAAGTGTCCAGAATAACAAGGCGCTATCAAAGCTCTACCCATCTTTCGAATACAAGCTCGAACCATCTTCAACAAAATCCACATATATAGATGGAGAATACCTAGGAGCATTAGACATCGCTGCCTAATAAATTAACCCTGTAACTTCAGGATAATAGGGTGCTTCAGGCACAATGATGAACATTTAATATAGTGGAGAGTAATTCTCATGCATTCCAATATCACAAAAAATTTATCCAACACACTCGAGCATTTCCGTTGTCACAACATAATTATATGTATAATCTGATACCCGTGTATACATAAGTCACATTTTGATGCATCCAGCAGAGTTTTCCTTAAATTACTTCTATCCTTCACAACAACCCCTAACTAAAAAAATGTGGGGGAACAAGAACTACAAGTTCCTTTTCTAGGTTGAATTGGAAACTTGTTCCTCAATTCAAAATAAAAGCATGAAAACACAGTTGATTTAAAGGGAAGAACGTTGCGAGCTCGATCTTTTCGTTTTCAAGAAAAAGATCAGATGCATGATTTGGACTCCAAAAATTGGACGGGGCTGACATGGTTCTCCCTAACACAACTGCATGTTCTTTGGTGGTTATTCAAAAGAAAGGTGTATGGGTGTTTGCTAAAAGTTTTAGGGTTAGGCCATCGGTTTTATTCAAGATGGAAGAGATGGCCCTATGATGATTATATGAATACAGATGCTATGCACTAGACCTTAATCGTAGAACCATGATAACAAAGAAATGAAGCCTCCTACTTTAGTAGGCTTGCACACACAAAATATTAATGTTTTCGTTCATGACCTTCATCAAAAAAAAAGGGGGATAAAGGCAGTTGCTTCCATTTTCTTAGCTGGAAGTGTGTGCCTTGGTGGTGGTGGTGGTGCTGCTGCTGGTAGAAGGGACAGAACTCTGACTTGATTGATGTGTGCTTGACTGAGGAGCTGGTCCACCTTTAGAAAAAACTGAACCGACTGATTCACTCGATGCACTCACTGATGATGACATTACGGCTGGAGCAGGGTCCTTGCTGGACGCGGACTGAAGTTCTCGTCGTAAGTCTGAAGATGAGGATGATGGAGCTAGAGTGCCAATAGTAGATCCAACAGGATAGGGTGCAACAGGCATATCGGTAAGGGAAGAGGCAGACGGACTGTAACTTAGTGTTCCCATAGGATGATCAAATTTGCAAGCAGCTCCGAACTTGCATACTCCACGTTGTGAATAATGAATGCAAGGAGGTGCACCCTATGACATTACCAAAAACACAAGTAAATATATTAACAACTTAAAGAGAAACAAGACTCTAGATGAAAATTCTCCAATTGTCCTAAAAGACTGCGTTTCCGCAGGTATAAAACTAAAGTCCAACAGTTCAACGATTACTTAACTTGTTCATTCATGCTCTTGAAAATTGTTTGTGGAGAATATAAAAGAGTGCATATTACACAATAGGTCGTATCATAAATATATGTTGCATGGCTAATGTACCAAAAGCCAGAGAATAAAACAATATCATTCATGTAACAAAGGAGATAGCAAGCCTGAATATTAAACCTATGTTGCTCCAATTAGGTACTCGTGTCTGATACCTTTATCCCGTACATGCCGGAAATGGGCATAAGGATATAATCCTCCAAAGACTCTCGACTAATACATAAAAACCTTAGAAATTAACTGGTTGTTAGAAACATAGGCAGAATGACATCAAGAAAGAAAGGTGATACTGATACACCTCGACCTGAACACCCGGCCACAAAAAAAAATGTATACAGGGATATGGAGCATGAATAAATAAATAAAACAACTCAATCAAAACAATTTCATGATAGTTTCCTTCATTTAACTTTTATGGTTCATTGCAAGCTGAGTTTCATCAAGAAACAGAGCAACGATAATAGTTATTCATGCTAGCCACTACTAAGCATTAAACGTGATTAAAATTTTAAAACCCAACCTTAAAAACAGCATCAAATTTATATGGCATTTTACAAATTCTTACTGGACGAACAGGAAGACCAAGAGGGCTGAGGACGACATCAGCTTTTGGTGCAGACACTTCTTTTGGATGATGATATCTACAGGAGGATCCATATTTACAATCACCTGTTTTCATATAATACCGACATTCTGGTTGGCCAGGTCTCTCCGGAAATGACTGCTCCTGATGAATGCTACTCGAAGAAACAGCACCAGGAATTACAGGTTGATAAGATCGAGTATAGGCAGGTGCTGATGGAGATAACGGTGTTACTCCAAAAACTGAGCTCGATCCAGCAGTGGCTTGAGTACTGGGACTAACAGGTGGCTGCATCAGGTGCATTAACAACCTCAAGAATAAAAACTAATGAAAATTACTCACAGCTGAGGAAACTGAATAAAATTTTAATTTACCTACCGCATAGAGATTCCAACTCGCAACAGAAACCATGCCCGGGGAAAGAAGCAAAGGACCATAGGGACCTTGCACATACGACCCCGGCATCAGGGGAGGCCTCACCATTACAACTCCATATTGTTGTGAGGAAGGACCGGATGGTGACTGCACCGGGGGATATAATGTAGGTGCAGGAACTGGAGTAGGCAAAGGCGCAACTTGAGGAGCTGGAGATGCTGCGGGAACCTTTATAGCAGGTGGTGCGGGATGATGGAATTTACATGTTGCGCCGAATTTACACTGCCCCGTTTTCACATAGTAAGAACACTCCTTTTCACCCTGTTTCAAAGTGCAGTTCAATTATTAAGCACACTTAAAAATACACAATGCCAAAGATCTTATGTCAAGTGGTACAAACCGGGCGTAATGGATATCCGAAATAATTTAGTGGCACAGGGCTAATAAAACCACCTCCCTGCTTAGGATGATGGTATTTACAGGAAGAACCAAATTTGCAGGTCCCCTTCCTCATATAATACTGCAAATCAATAAAATCGAAACAGTAACCATAGTAAATAACATACTATATAGCATTTTGCTAAATTGTCAAACCAAAATGCAATCTATTCACTAAAAAGCAAGATGTAACTCTATCCTTTAAACTTAAAATGAAATGACATGAAGTCATACTTACCTACAGAGAATTCACCAATGCACATTGTTGAAATTGTAGCATTTCAGCATACATACCTCGAATTTATCAAACATTTAAGACACAATCTAAATCAAAAGTACCTGACAAACCGGCTGGCCCACTCTCTCCGGATACTCCCCTGCATTACCTCTTCCAGCTCTCATAACCTAAACCAATCATCGTCATCAATCAAAACAAATGAGAATAAAATGTTTCTAAGATTACCAATTTACACTAGATCTTAATGCATTAACCAAAAACTTCCCATTTTCACCCATTGATTCGATACCCCATCACTCCAAAGACCAGACTCAAACAAAAACAACCAAAAACCCTTCAAGAAAACTTTGAACCAGAACGAAACAAATGAACAATCAATCAAATTTATGAATTATTTACCGATGTACGGTCACGAGGATGATTGAACCGACACCTGGAGCCGTATCCACAAAACCCAGTCCTCAAATAGTAGATACAATAAGCTTCATTGGGTCTCTCCGGATAAGATTCCGGCTTATCCCCTAATCCCAACCGCCAAGCCGGTTCTGCATTTCAAACAAAAACCTCGTATCACATCCGACATTACACAAAAAAGAAATCCCAAATCCCAAAACGAAAACAAAAACAAACAAAAAAGGTTAAAAAGAGTCATCTTTTTACCTTCGAACCCCGTTTGGGGTCCCGGAGCTGTCCATTCCGGTTGCGGATCGGACTCTGGGCCCCGCTCCATTCAACGTGCGTACAAACAACCTCCCAAATAGCCCAAGTTGCAATCCGATCAAATGGGTGTTTACGTCTTCTTCTTCTTCCAGAGAGAAAAAGAAGAAAAAACAACAACAAATAACCAGCGAGGAAAAAACTCTCTTGTTTATTACACTAAACCGAGAAAACACACTGTTCTGTCTGTTGGTCTTTTTTGGGTTTTGGTTTCTCTCTCTCTCTCTCTGCTTCAGTTTCTCAAAGTCATTTGCCGTTTGGTTGATCTCCTCTCCCCCTTTTCTTCTTTATGGGTTTGTTTATATACGCGCCAAATAGAGGGGAAAATAATAAAACTATTATTAAATTGGGTTAAGTACACAAATGATCTCCCTCGATTATGGGATGCTACTTTATTAAGTCCTTTAACTATTAAAAATTATAAAATAATCACTTAACTATTTATTATGTTCCAAACTCACCATTTTTTTCTGTTAAAAAATCAACAACAGTTTGAGGTTAATGTTAATATGTTGTCTATGATAGTCGTTTGAGATTTTAGAATCATATTTTATCATATCTCATAAAGCATATTAACATCTAATTCAGACTGTTGTCAATTTTTAA